ACAATAGTACTTGGAGACTTCAACATCCCCCTATCACCTCTGGACAGATCGACAAGAACAAAACCCAGCAAGGAATCATTGACTTTGAAAGAAGAAATAGAAGAGAGAGGGCTTATAGACCTATACAGGGCTTTACACCCCAAAAAGAAAGAATACACATTCTTCTCCAGTGCACACGAAACATTTTCCAAAATAGACCATGTGCTAGGACACAAAACATTCCTCAACATAATTAGGAAGACAGAAATAGTATCAGCCATCTTTTCAGACCATGATGCACTGAGGATAGAAATGAATCACACACAGACACGGAGAACCAAATCAAACACCTGGAAATTAAACAACTCAATGCTGAACAACGAGTGGGTCAGGAACGAAGTCAAGGATGAAATCAAAAGATACCTGGAAACAAATGAGGATGAATACACGAGCTACCAGAACCTATGGGATGCAGCAAAATCTGTATTAAGGGGAAATTTTATAGCTCTGCAAGCATATCTCAGAACAGAAGAAAGGATGCACATAAACAACTTGACCTCACAGCTCCAAACCTTAGAAAAGGATCAACAGAAAGAGCCTGAATCAGGCAGAAGGAAAGAGATCATAAAACTTAGAGCAGAAATCCATGACATGGAAACCAAAGAAACAATCTGAAAGATCGATGAAACCAAGAGCTGCTTCTTTGAGAAAATAAACGAGATAGATAAACCACTAGCAACACTCACAAAGAAACAGAGAGAGAGAACCCTAATAAATCGAATCAGAAATAAGAAGGGGGATATCACATCAGAAATCAAAGAAATCCAAAAGATCACCAGAGACTACTTTGAAAGTCTTTATGCCATGAAACAAGAGAACCTAGAAGAAATGTACAAACTCCTGGACTCCTATACTCTCCCAAAGCTGAATCAAGAAGATCTGGAGTATCTGAATAGACCTATTAACATCAACAAAATAGAAACTGTAATCAAAAGTCTTCCCAAAAACAAAAGCCCAGGTCCAGATGGATTCACTAGCGAATTTTTCCAAACACTTAAAGATGACCTACTGCCAGTCCTTCTCAAGCTTTTCCAGGAAATTGAAAAAACGGAAACTCTCCCAAACAGTTTCTATGAAGCCTATATCTCTCTAATACCAAAAGGAAACAAAGACACCACGAGAAAAGAAAACTACAGGCCGATATCCCTGATGAACAAGGATGCGAAGATTCTCAACAAAATACTAGCAGATAGAATTCAACTACTCATCAAAAAGATCATACACCATGACCAATTAGGATTCATCCCTGGGATGCAAGGCTGTTTAACACTCGGAAATCAATCAACATAGTCCACCATATCAACAAAAGAAAAGATAAAAATCATATGATCATATCAATAGATGCAGAGAAAGCATTTGACATGATCCAGTACCCATTTATGATGAAAACCCTAGCCAAAATGGGGATAGAGGGGACTTTCCTCAAAAGTTAAAGCCATCTACCACAAGCCTACAGCAAACATCGTCCTCAATGGCGAAAAACTGAGAGCCTTTTCTCTAAGATCAGGGAAGAGACAAGGATGTCCACTCTCTCCACAGCTGTTCAATATAGTACTGGAAGTACTTGCAATAGCGATTAGGCAAGAAAAAGATATTAGGGGCATCCAGGTAGGAAAGGAAGAAATCAAACTCTCACTATTCGCAGATGATATGATACTATACTTAGAGAATTCTAAAACCTCTACCAAGAAACTGCTAGAAACAATAGGCTTGTATAGTAAAGTTGCAGGCCATAAAATTAATACCCAAAGTCCATGACTTTCATATATGCAAATAGCGAGAGAGAAGAAATTAACATGAAGAAAACAATCCCATTTACAATTGTGCCCAGAAAATCAAGTACCGAGGAATCAGCTTTCTAAGGAAGTAAAGGACCTGTACAAAGAAAACTACAAAATGCTACTTCAGGAAATAAAAGAGGATACGAGGAAATGGAAAAATATCCCCTGTTCATGAATTGGGAGAATTAACATTGTCAAAATGGCAATACTTCCCATAGCACTGTATAAATTCAATGTGATGCCTATTAGGATACCCATGACATTCTTCAAAGAAGTGGAGCAAACACTCCTGAAATTTATATGGAACAATAAGCCCCCTTGAATAGCTAAAGCAATTCTTGGGAAAAAGAAAATGGAAGGAATCAACCTCCCTAACTTCAAACTCTACTACAAGGCAGTAATAATTAAAAAGCATGGTACTGGAACAAAGGCAGAGCTGTAGACCAATGGAACATGATTCAATATACTGACATCTTCTCCAAAGCATCCGAGCATCTAATCTTCGAGAAGGGGGCAAGAAAAGTGAAGTGGAATAGGGAAGGCCTCTTTACCAAATTGTGCTGGCAAAACTGGACTGCTGCATGCAAAAAAATGCGCTCTAATCTCTGCCCAACACCATATACAAAAGTAAGATCTAAGTGGATTAAAGACCTCAACATCAGACCGGAATCTATAAGGTGCATTGAGGAAAATGTTGGCAAAACCCTCCATGACATAGAAGCTAATGGTGTCTTCAAAGATGTCACACCACTGGCCAAGCAAGTGAAAACAGAGATAGACAAATGGGACTATTTTAAACTAAGAAGCTTCTGCACCTCAAAAGAAACAGTGACCAAAATACAAAGACAGTCTACAGAATGGGAAATGATATTCGCCAAATACACATCTGATAAGGGATTAATGTCAGGGATATACAAACTACTGGTTGAACTCCACAAAAAGAAAACTTTCAACCCCATAAAAAATAAGGAGATGAAATGAATAGAACCTTTCACAAAGAAGAAATCCGCATGGCTAAAAGGCACATGAGAAAATGTTCCACATCATTAATCATCAGGGAGATGCAGACCAAAGCCACAATGGGATATCATTTCACACCACAGAGACTGGCCTATATCCACAAGAAGAAAAGCAACCGGTGCTTCCGCGGATGTGGTGAGAAAGGGACACTCCTTCACTGTTGGTGGGAATGCCGACTGGTTCAGCCCTTTTGGAAAACAGTATGGACGATTCTCAAAAAATTAAAAATTGAGCTCCCATTTGATCCAGCAATACCACTCCTGGGAATATATCCCAGAGAGGCAAAAAAGTATAGTCGAAGTGACATCTGCAATTGTCTGTTTATTGCAGCCAGAATCTGGAAAAAACCCGAGTGCCCGAGAACAGATGACTGGTTAAAGAAACTTTGGTACATTTACACAATGGAGTAGTATGTAGCTATTAGAAAAGACGAAGTCACGAAATTTACATCCCAGTGGTACTACATGGAAAGTATCATGTTAAGCGAAATGACTCAGAAAGAAAGGGATAGACATAGAAAGATTGCATTCATCTGGGGAACATAAAGTAACAAAATAGGAGACCAACACCCAAGAATGGCTGAGATTAGTACCAGGAATTTTACTCCATGACTTAGAGGCCAACCACATATACTAGGGGGAAAGGGAGCTCAGATAAAGACGGGAACACCAAATAAAGGTGTTGGGAGGATCCTCCCAGGATGGGAGAAGCATGCGGAAAGTAGACTATAGACTAAACATGATTGTGACCCATTGCCTCTTTTGCAAACCACAAACCCAATAAGAGAAAGAGAACAAAAGGGAATGCCCTGCCACAGAGGCAGGGTGGGATGGGGGGGGATGATTAAGTTAAGATTATACTAGTACATATATGGTTTATATATATATGTGTGTGTGTGTGTGTGTGTGTGTGTGTGTGTGTGTAAGACACTAATCTTATTGCATTATTAATTTTAAATAGTCACATAAGTATATTCATATGCAGCCACACATACATATCACAGACATACAATCACACACTCTCTCACACGCACACACACACGAGACAAATAGAGAGAGATTTTACAATTTAAAAGGTCATTAGTGATAATCTAGAGGAAATGGCAAGAACATTAAACTTTATATTGAATGATCAGTTCTTGTATAAAATAGTCAAGTCTAGGATGTTGTTACAAAATTCCCATTCAACATCCAAATCCAACATGGCTTTTGAAAAATTACGTATCACCCCTCTGAAAGTTCTTTTAACTTATTAGAATATGCTTTGACAGGAAAATCAAATTGTGATATGAAGAAAAAATTATCAACCTGGCTTACTTTTATTAAAATGTAATCACTGTCATTGTCACTGTCCTCCCGTTGTTCATCAATTTGCTCGAACGGGCCCAGTAACATTGTGAGACTTGTTACTGTGTTTGGCATATCAAATATGTCACGGGTAGTTTGCCAGGCTTTGCCATGTGGGCGAGATACTCTCAGTAGTTTGCCAGGCTCTCCAAGAGGAGTGGAGGAATCGAACTCGGGTCGACCCTGTTGGCTGCGTGCAAGGCAAACACCCTACCCGCTGTGCTATTCCTCCAGCCCTAAAATGTAATAATGGTAGATATGTGAAATAAAATTAGTTATGAAAATAATTTTATCTTGGTTTATTTTGAAAGCTCTTTAAGCTTGATTTGCACTTGCTCAGCTCTATCTTTTAAAATTATATTTATAAGCATGCCGTATGTTTAACTTTAAGTATTTGGTACTGCTTATTGGAGTAATGATTTGTCAAATCATATGCCTAGACCGAAAAGACACTATCCAGACTTGAATTACTGTGTAAATTATTTCAGGGGCTGGAGTGATAGATAGTGCAGCAGACGGTGTGCTTTACTTACACGTGGCCGACCCAGGCAAGTTCATTGAGCCCTGCCATATGTGATCCCTGTGTGCAAAGCTAGGAATGATCTCTGAGAACTGCTGAGTGTGACCCTAAAGACAAAATCCAAACAAATAAAAGCAAATAATTTGAGCTATTTAGTTTATGATTTGTAAGTAATAAAATGAAATATTGTTATTTGTTCAGTATATAATATACTTTAGGATCTAAACTGACACTTTTCCCCCTTCTATTACCTGTATGTTTGTACGTATGTGTGTATCTGTCTGTATTTTACAGCTGTCATTTCTCGAAACCAAGAAGGGCCAGGAGAAATGGGAAAGGCTGTGCTGATTCCTAAAGACGACCAAGAGAAAATGAAAGAACTATTTAAAATCAATCAGTTTAATCTTATGGCGAGCGATTTGATTGCCCTTAACAGAAGTCTGCCAGATGTAAGATTGGAAGGGTGAGTTTACATGTGTTATACAACCTTATGTATTAATGTGCATACTAATCTGTAATTTCAATACTTGTGAACTGCAGTTAACTCAAATTATTTTTGTTTTAGAACTATATGGTTCAGAATAACTTTCCTATCTAAGGAATTTACTGCTTATCCATGTGATATTTTCTTCTCTGACAGAGCAAAGTATGTTTCTTACACAGAATATGTTGAATAAAAAAGTAACAGGTTTTACTTCATGAGGTGCTTTTTGGTTTAGCTTTGCTTTATCTTGCCAAATACAGCGTAAACAGGTTCTTAGATTATTTGCTTCCCTTATACTTTGCTTTGTAAAACTATATGCTTTGATATTCCAACTTAAAAATATCTAGTTGCCTGAATGAATCTTTGGCCTTTTAAAATATTTATTATGTATTCAGGCAGTTTATGCTGCTATATATTACTTGAATGTGCAGTTATCAGCCATGGAAGAAATAATCTCTTGAAAAGGATAAAGCATGGACAGTGGTATTGAAAATTCATCTTGTATGTAATGAACTGTAAGCTATGTTCTTAATAGTTGAACATATTTTTAAAAAATAATAGAAATAGAATATTTAGCTGCATTAATTGTTGCAATATAAGGTGCTGATGGAAATCCTCTTGCATATTAAAGACATGCTTTTTTTTCAGAAATATCTGAGATTACATATATCCTCAAAATGCACTATTTAAAAGTAGATGTTCTCACAGACATGAAATTACTTTACCTATATACAATAAAAATATGGTTAGTGAAAATGAAATTGTTCCAATAATGTACTATGTTATGTTAGCAATGTAGTTTTATATTTACTGATAATGAGTTTTCCTTTTGACTTACATCATTTAAGACTTACATTAATTAAGACTTATATAGAGTAATCAAAACATTGTTGAGAAGTGGCACACAGTTATCAAAAGTTTCATTTGGAAGCTTAGTGTCATTAGTTTAATTTATATCTCACATACTTTTAAAAATGCCTCTCTTAAGGAAACCACAATAATTAAATATTATGAACATTTTTGGTCATTACCAATAGGCCTCAGAAAGGCCTGGGCTGGAGCGATAGCACAGCGGTAGGGCGTTTGCCTTGCACGCAGCCAACATGGCCGACCCGAGTTCGATTCCTCCGCCCCTCTCGGAGAACCCGGCAAGCTACCGAGAGTATCTTGCCCGCAAGGCAGAGCCTGGCAAGCTCCCTGTGACATATTCAATATGTCAAACACAGTAACAACAAAGTCTCCAATGGAGACGTTACTGGGCCCACTCGAGCAAATCGACGAACAACAGGAGGGCATTTACCTTTACCTTTACCAATAGGCCAAAATTCCCAACATTTATGTATTTCACACACTAAATAATTTTTACATGACATTTCAATATTCATATATATATATTATATTTCTTTACATATTATAGATAGATACACTTGCTTTTTTTTTTTTTTTGCTTTTTGGGTCACACCTGGCGATACACAAGGGTTACTTATGGCTCTGCACTCAGGAGTTATTCCTGGCAGTGCTCAGGAGACCATATGGGATGCTGGGAATCGAACCTGGGTCGGCTGCATGCAAGGCAAACGCCCTACCTGCTGTGCTATCTCTCCAGCCCCTACACTTGCTTTTTTAAATATGCCATAAACAAATTGTACTAAATAATTTCAGTCATTTTTGATACTGTTAACATGCTGAGATATTGCATTATAATAAAATAAGTCTTTTATAGTTATGTATTCAAAAATAATATAAACAGCATTTTATTTTTATTTTATTTTATTACATTTTATTTATTTATTTTTATTGAATAACCATGAGATACAGTTACAGAATTACAAACTTTCATGATTATATTTCACTCATACAATGATTGACACCCATCCCTCTACCAGTGCCCATTCTCCACCACCAATGTCCCCAGTACCCCTCCTGCCACCCCGCCTCTCCCCACCACCTATCTCTGTGGCAGGCACATTTCCTCTTACTCTCTCTCTTCTTTTGGGTCTTCTGGTTTGCAATGCAGGTACTAAGAGGCCGACATGTTTGGTTCATAGTCTACTTTCAGCACACATATCCCATCTCGAGCGATCCTTTTAAACATCATTTACTTAGTGGTCCCTTCTCTATCCCAGTTGCCTTTTCCCCCAGTATGTGAGGCTGTAAACAGCATTTTTTTTTATAATTTATTTATTTATTGAATCACTGTGGGAAAAGTTACAGAGCTTTCGGGTTTAGGTCTCAGTCATGTAAATATCAAACACATTTCCCTTTACCAATACTTATTTTTAACCCCGAACCCCAATAGAACCCCACCTCCCACCCCTCCCAATTCCTGTGAGGCAGATGAGTTCTAGTTAATACTCTATCTGCTTTGACTAGATACCTTGTTTCGATAGAAGATGCACAATTATTGTTTAGAGTTTACGACCCACCCCCCACAATCAGACATGCTGAAACAGCGTTGTGAAATGATTTGCTTTCTACAACTTGGTTCAAGAATAAAATGATGTCGCGCAGCCATGATAGCGGCCGCGCGGTTTTGGATTTCTGCTATTTTACTTATTGACCCTGGAAGAATTTCTATTAAAAGTTAGATAGTTAAGAGATTGGTTTCTGTGCCCTGGAGTCGTGGCCGTGCCGGAGAGCCGCTCGTGGGGGGCAGCTGGCGACCTCGGTCGGGCGTGAGGGACGGCCCACAACGCCCCCCTTCCCATGAGGTCCCTGCCGCTCCCACCAACCCCGGCTCAGACCTGCTGTCCACAAGGCTCCCGTGCGGTCGCCATCTTTCTTTCCAGAGAGGAGCGGGCGAGCCGGTCTGTAAACAGCATTTTAAATCTCTTAAAATCTTGACTTTCAACTAGTAGAGCATAAATAAACTAAATTTTATATCACATGATATATCGATTTTCTCGAGCGGGCCCAGTAACGTCTCCATTGGAGACTTTGTTGTTACTGTGTCTGGCATATCGAATACGTCACCGGGAGCTTGCCAGGCTCTGCCGTGCGGGCGAGATACTCTCGGTAGCTTGCCGGGCTCTCCGAGAGGGGCAGAGGAATCGAACTCGGGTCGGCCATGTTGGCTGCGTGCAAGGCAAATGCCCTACCGCTGTGCTATATATTCCTTGAGTACTGAACTTTTTTTTATTGAATTGCTGCGAGAAACAGAGATACACAGTTGTTCATGGTCAGGTTTCAGTCAAACAATATTCCAACACCGATCCCTACACCACTGTGCATTTTCCACTACCAGTGCCCCCAGTGTCTCTCTCACCACCTTCCTTCCCCTCCACATCCAGCCTTTCTCTATGAGAGAGAGAGAAGGAACCATTTTTTAAATAAAAAATGAAGTAACAAGCTAATTTAAGATGTTTGTGGTAAAAGATATTTTAAGAGTCATTTATCATAATGAATACTTGAATGATTAAGCCCTAAACTATGGGAAAATCCAACATTTGACTAAATGAAGAATTCAAATTGATACAATGGGATACTTTTCATCTATTAAAAGATTAATTCTTATTCACTAGTTATATTATGAGTGAATTTGTGGCATTGTGCAACTTAAATAAATACAATTGTTAAAGGAAAATGCTATATTCAATCATAGATGGAAGAGAGCTAAGCAAAAGATACGTTAAACTAAACAAAAGCAGTCCTTTATATTCTGACAGTCTCAAAATGGCAGTTGCCAGAGGGGAAAAGTAATTGGAGGTGGATAAAATGGGGCAGGCAGGTCAAATGTGAGGGTGGAGCAGTAATACAATGGTTCTGGTGTGTGCACTCTGCATGGTACCCTGAACACCATCAGGAGTGATGACTGATCGCAAAGTTAGGAGTAAGTTCTGAACATTACGGGATGTTTCCCAAACAGCAACAATGACAACAAAAACAGAAATGGGTCAATTGTACGGCTGTTGGGGGAAACTAGACTTTTGAATGTGTTCATATTATAATGTATACACATGTGGACATGCATTTTTTACAATATTAAACTATTAGTTAAAAAGATATTATAGTACAAGAACAGCAAATATTATCAGTTATATATATTATATGGTTAAAGAGGGAATAAAAGATTTTATACAGTATTAGCAGCTTAGGGCAGGACCACTGTAGCAATATAGCACAGTCCTCCCTTTGTTCATCGATGTGCTCAAGCAGGCACCAGTAATGTCTCCATTGTGAAACTTGTTGTTAATGTTTTTGACATGTCCAATATATCACAGGCAGCTTCCCAGGCTTTGCCATGGAGGCAGAATACTCTCGGTAGCTTGCTGAGCTCTCCGAGAGAGGTGGAGGAATTGAACCTGAGTTGGCCGCCTGTAAGCAAATGCCCTACCTGGTATGCCCTACCCACTTCGGCCCAGGGCAGGACCAAGATGGGAAAATTGAAATACCCATGTTAACATTTTACTGCAATCATAGACCAGAAGTCCTACACTAGAATGAACAGACTTTCCACTGCATCATGTCAATAGAAGACACTCGAACTCCAAAGATAAACACTGGCTTGAAATTAAAATTTGGAAATAATCACACAGGTAAATTGTAACCGAATCCATATATAGCTTTTTCTTTTAAGATGGGATGAGCCCATTAATAAAATTTTTCTTAACAACATGCAACAAATGAAGAATAAAACATATAACTCAACTATTAATACCCTTAGTTCAAGATATCTATATCTACTATAAATAGCAGAAACAGTAGGGAACTTTAACACCCCATACTTCCAATAGCCAGAAGAGCTAGTAAGAAAATTACCAGTGAATTTATTCACTTATAACATCACATTTTACTAGAATATACACCTAAACTGGCTTGACTAAATTTAGAAAATTGTCCAAATAGTTTAATGTGTCATCCTTCATATCGATCTATAAATATTTGAATATGTGTTCAGAGGAATACAGTTAAGTAAACATTCATTGTTTTCAAAGATAAGAGACTGGGTAAACAGTTATCTTAGAGACAATTTTGATGAA